AGAGAGAGAGAGAGAGAGAGAGAGAGAGAGAGAGAGAGAGACAGAGAATAAAAAGAAATGAACAGAGAAAGATCGAGCCGGGTGAAATAAATTCGGTTATTTCGTTCCAGATCTGTATAAGCTGCTGCGACGAGAGCTACTGCAATATCGAGTCGCCGACTAACGCCACTAACGCGATCTACTCGCGCAAACGGCGCGCCAAGTCGAAATCGAAGCGCAAACGGCCCGGCAGAAACGGGGTCGACGCGGCGACGCGGCTCTACGGGTCCAGTTTGCTCTGGCTTCCCGCCTCGCTCTTCTATGCATATCATTGCTGAGGAAGCAGCAAACACTAACCGCGTACGCGAAACGGACAGCGCGGAAATCGCGCGCGGGTATATTGACGATATACGCGCGCGACTACGCGCCATCATGGACGCGACTCGCCGTCTCTCGCTCGTGAATGTTCTCTTCTGTGATTCCTCCGTAGATTCACGCTCGCCTAACTACGCAAAACACCCGACACCGCCGTCTGAATTCCGACCAAGCTTACCGACGAACTTCCCCGCCAACGGGAGGACCATTTCGCGCAGAGTTTCCGCGCCCGTCGTGCCGATATCTCTCGGCAGAGACCGTCGTCCAATTGTTTTGGAGAGAACGCTAATCGCTCTATTTTTCGTACTCTTGTTTGAGATTCTCGCCACCACTGGTTAACTTTAATGGGTACCGCCAAGACTTGACGTGCGCGCGTGCACGTCGACCGGATTTACCGAGCGCTTGGTGTTTCGAGCATGGCGGAAGAGAGCGAAACGTACGTTTCGGGGATGGAGTGTCCGCGCGAGGAGGAATCGCCTGGGAGCGGTTCCAGGAAATTCGGGGAACGAGCAAAGAGCAGTCGAAAAACTTGGCGCCGTTCCGCGCTGTCCGAGACACGTTATTAATCGGGGACCCTTCGAACTAATCGGGTCCCCCGTGATGGCAAAAGGAATTGTTTTCTCGTCGTAGTATCGGTAGTTGCTATGCCTCGGTAGAAGGAACTTAAGGCACAAAGAGTATGAGAGAGACTCGGAGGAGACCGATCGATCCGAATTCGTTTCCGTTCCGAGACCCCACGACAATCTAGACAACACGCAATAAAGACTATTGATAATAACGCTAAGATGTAGTTTTACCGTGTGGTGAACTGTCTGTGTGTCTACTCTATACTCGATGTGTACTCCTCTTTCACAAGACCAAAAGTCCAATATGCGAGTGCGCCGTGATTAACGAAGGGGAATAATTAATTGCGAATGCGCCGTGATAAAATCTCGAGGGTACATACATAAATGTAAAACATTCGAAATTTTAATTAAATCGACTTCTTGCCAACAAAATATTTGTAAAACGCACAAATATCTGACTGATTTAATTCGCTGGAAAATCGCAGGCAAAATTTAATTATTTAATTTTACGCGTCATCGAACATCACAGCATATGAATAATTTGTTTATTACAATTAAGGGCGGGTGATCGATATAGGGCGTAAGCGATATTGGCCAAAGTAACGATTAAAACTCGCAGCACCGAATTACTTTCGGTGAGAGGTGTTTAACGCTGCATTTGACGCGTCGCGTCGGTTCCTGCGGCCGTAACTTACGCACCGGAAACGAATTCGAATTACCCGTAACGATTATTCACACATCTAAGAACTTGCCTACTACTGACTCTTTATCGCTATTAAAATTATTAACGATTACATAAATATATATATATATATATATATATATATATATATATATATATATATATATATATACATATATATATATATATATATATATATATATATATTACGATATAGACACTATACATTGTTTCGCGGCATGATGTAAGAATACTGTTGGTAATGAAATAAAGAAAATTATACTTGTCACGCATCGCTTTGTTCCTGCCTAATCCTAGATTAGATTTTCAACAGAGAATCCTCCGTTCATTGCGTTTATTTACATTTGCAATCGATTCACCTCGTCAAACAGATTCGACATGCGAGCGATGAAAAATGTTGTGCACGACAAGTGGCAATAATTCAACGCGTATAAATAATGCAATAAATTCATTAAGTTCACTCACCGAGCGTCGCACCAGTGCTGCATCCGCGCCACCAGGTCCATCAGCTGTTCCATCGGCGTCAATTTCTGCTTGAAACGCTGTGGCTTCAAGTCCATCAAGGCAGTCACACGGGCACGAACGCGGCGCGCGAAAACCGCTTTTAATTGCAATCGCGCACCGACAAACCAGTACGCCCTGCACGCACCGTTTTCGATACGTTTGAGATTGGCGGACTGTAACAAAATTCAGTATACAATTAATCACGAGATTACAATTCGCGCGGTGAAATGAAAGCGATTATTTTTCCTGTTTCCTCGACTGAACCACGCCCGGGATTCGGAGAATAATTTCGTTTGCTCTCCCTTCTACACGTATCTAGGCCGTGTGCACACGTACTAATTATAATCTCTCATTTATAAGGGAATTATTCATATTTAACATGTCAACGATGATCCCAGTTGATATAGCAAACCTCGACGCAGCCCACCGTCGAACCACACCATCGTCATCGAGAAAACGCGGTTAATTATGCTCACGTCGCAATTAACATGCAGTAATGACGCATCCATGTTACGGCGCAGCCATTCATGTCCCTGCTAATAATATGCCAGAATCGTTTCATTCCAGATCGACGCGGCCACGTCAAACATCTCTGTTCAAATAACGCGCGCTCACGGCAAATTAGTATCGTTTACTTTAATTTGCCGTGACGATCTCTGTCGTGTATCACCGACTCCCTTGTTCTTGGTGTGTCTCGCGCGCGACGCGAATTACCTGACTATCATGCTGAACGTTTCGACAAACAACAGCCCTAACGGCGACGTTCGGTAATTTTGCGCCGACGGACTCTCAAACGCGTGACTGATCGAGACTGCATTAATGCTAATTAATCTGGTTAACCATGATCTAGTCAGAGATGTCAGGTTCGAATAAAATACGCGGAGAAAAAGTGCACTGTAAAAAATCTTGCGTACATAGTACGTAAACAAATGTTCCAAAAAGTCCACTCTAAATTTTGTGTGGAAAATAACTCATTCATATGTTCATTCGTGTGTTACTTATATTATGTACTAGTCTGTACAAAATGTAAATAACACACGAATGAAGATATGCATGAGTTATTTTTGACACAAAATTTAGAGTGGGCTTTTTGGAACATTTGTTTGCGTACTGTGTACGCAAGATTTTTTACAGTGTGCGTTCTACATGGAACGCACGAACAGCCAACGAACGGCGAAATCGGCATGTGTATGACAGCGAATGCAAATGTTCGCTAGTGTTCGGTCCGATTCAAACCGGCACACAAAAGCGAAGTTCGTGCGCTCCATGTAGACGCACCCTAAGATGAGCGATTTACTATCGATGAGCGATGACCGTCGCGCAGCGACGGTCGTTTCTACCGAATTGCTATAACCACCGTAACCGCACTTGCCGTGACTCGTGAATCGAGTCTCAACGGGCAACGGACTCGCGATTATGATTACGCGAATTAACGAGCTTCGACATCGCGATCTAATGGATACTCCATAAACGGGATACTCGCGGACGATTGTCTGATTATATTATTGCTTCAATGAGAGGATAATAATGTAATAACAAGAGAAACGTCGACTCGAGAAGTCGCAACAGATTGCTTGTATCGACAAACGAGATTACTCACTAAAATTACTCACTAAAAAAATAATTACAATAAATAATTATGAAGTAATTACACTAAAATTACTCACTAAAATTATTCACTAAAAAAGTAATTACGATCGCACATCGTTATTTTCGACGCTTACTTCCGCACAAAACTTGCTTTCGACGGACAAAAGACGCGTAAAATACAGATCGATGTCGATCGATATGTTCATGGCAGTTCTTTAATTCAAAAAATGGATATTCAAGATGGACGCACGATTGACAACGTACGCGAACAAAACGCGAACAGTGTCGCGACTCGACAAGAACGCGCTCTGTGATATATTTCTCTCTTTCCCTTTCTAACTGACTGGCACTACCGCCCGAGATTCGGCGTCGTGAATACCTCTGGCGTCACATTATCTATCTACTCTAATTATCTAATTACCATCGGATTTCTAATTCTCGAATAATAAATCTGACAATTGCTCGACTCTATTACTGACTGAATAAGTCGGAGATAATAATGTGAGAGAGAGAGAGAGAGAGAGAGAGAGAGAGAGAGAGAGAGAGAGAGACGCCCACTCGATACGTCATGACAAGCACCGGCTGTATTTACAGAAAAACAAGGAGATTCCCAGATAGTATACACACAGTTTTAAAAATATTTTATAAACGTTGGAACCAAACCTTTCATAACTGTTTCCAAAACGTTTTATAACGTTTCATGAGTAAAAATGTTCACTCAAAAAACGTTAGGTGAAACGTTATTTTTGTGAAAAAAATCGTTGAAGAAATGTTTTATAAACGTTTTATAAATGATTCATAAATAAGGTTTCAGAGAGGTTTTTGTTAAAACATTTCTTATTGGTGCTTTACGGTTCTAAAACTATAGATACTTTTAAGAAACGTTTCTGATACGTATATGTGCTACTTGGATTATTCACTAAAACAACACTACAATGCGTCCCGACGGTCGCACATCGCTATTTTCGATATTCCCGGCAATTATTTCCGCGCAAAACTCACTTTCGACAAAAGATGCGTAAAACGCGGAGTGATACCGATCGATGTATCCACGGAGGTTGCTCAATTCGAAAAGACAGATATTCAAGATGGACGCATGATTGACGGTGACGAACGCGAACGAGTATCGCGATCCGACAAGAACGCGCTCTATAGTATACCCTTCTCTCTCTTGCTAACTGACCGACGCTACACACGAAATTCAGCGTCGCGAATATCTCCTACGTGTCCCTTCCTCTTTTCTCCTGATTATCACTGAATTTCTAATTTCTAATTTCTGTGTAATAAATCCAACAATTGCCCGACTCTATTACTGATTGAATGAGTCGGAGATAATAATGTAAGAATGAAAGAGAGACGCCGACTCGACATGTCGCGACAAGCACTGGTTGTATTTACGGAAAAACGAGATTACTCACTCAAAAGGTACTTACAACGCGTCCCGACGATCGCACATCACTATTTTCGACACTCCCGGCAGTTATTTCCACGTAATACTCACTTTCGACGGACAAAAGACGCGTAAAACGCGGAGCGATGTCGATCGATGTGTCCATGGCGGTTACTCGATGCAAAAAGATCGATGTTCAAGATAGACGTGCGATTGACGACGTGCGGTGAAATGGACAACGAAACGCGTACAGTGTCGCGACCCGACGCGCTCTGTGGTATAACCTTTCCTCTCTTTCTAACTGATTGACGTTACCACTAGAGATTTAACGTCATGTACATTTCTAGCGTCACATTATCTATCTATCCCTCTGATCATCGCCAAACTTCTAATTCACGAGTACTAAATCCAACGATCATCCGAATCGCAAAATTGAACAAATCGAAGATAGTAGAATGACAGACGTCGACTCGACACGCTACACGACAAGCAACGACAAGCACCGGCTGTATGTGTACGGAGAAACGAAGAGATATTCACTAATACGGTACTTACGATACGTCCCGACGACGCACATCGCATTTTCGACACTCCTGACACTCATTTCCGCACGAGACTCACTTTCGACGGACAAAAGGCGCGTAAAACGCGGAACGACGTTGATCGATGTGTCAATAGTGATTGCTCGAGCCAAAAACATCGGAGATACGCACTCTGCACATAAAAAGTAAAAACACTACCCCGCGGTAGATGGCGACGCGCAACAGCCACCAATCCGTATTCTTATCTAGTTTCCATAAACTGAGTTATTGCACTCGGTATAGTCCACAAAGTTACACCCAATCCGCGGATGTCTTACTAGTCGATAGATCGATAGTTATTGGAACTTTTCGACTAGCCACATTCATTTCAACACGCAAAGAAATGACTCGAGAATATCATATCTTAGATCGGTATTCGCGCGAGACGAACGAGGCACTTCGCATTTACATATCCACGCGCCGCGCATGCCTCTCCAACTGCGGTGAATGACCGCGCGTACTGAGGCGGTCGCATGGGGGTAATGGAGGGGGGAGCGATCGTACGATCGGAGCCGAGGAGTGGGGGTAACGAGCGTAACGTGTAGAGACACAGTATTCCTTTCACTTGCCGCGTTTTGCCTATCTATAGCTCATTGCAACGATTACGCCGATAATCTAAAACGCCGATCCATACAAATATCAATAATTCAACTTGTAGACGTCATGGCGATATGAAACAAGATCTATTGGAAAGGGAAAATTATTGCGCTTCCGAAGAACGTGAAATCGTCCTTCTGTGGAATAGTCTGACTTACAATGTGTTCTTTGCTTCCTGTTTCTTTATCTTCTTTTGGCTTGATCTACAATGTGTTATTTGCTTCTTGTTTCTTTTTCTTTATCTCTTTCTGACTTACACCTTAAGTCTTAAATTAAAAAAAAGACAGAGAACAAGAAACAGAAAACAAAGAGCACGTTGTAGATTAGGCTTTAAACCTTAAGCTAGGAAAGAATAAAGACAGAAAATAGAAAGCAAAGAGCACAATCAGGTTTAAGAATCAAATAGCGCAACCATGTAAGTACAAAAACATTGGTGTTTACGTTAAAATAGACATTAATCTATATTAAAAATCTATATGAAAACCTTGATTTGGATTTGTAGTGCGAGACGACAGTTTCATATTTTTGACAGATATAAAATGCTATTTAAAAGAAAAGAAAAATCATAATAATTTTGTGTTTTCTATCTATAAATTTTTACTGTAGCGTCAAAGTGCAAACAGCTAATAAATTTAATTTAAGTAGCAACGACATTAGTTATTCCCTATTCCAAGGACTGCCCTTTTTCAGCGGCATGTAGCTACACATTTCTCATGGCCGTTGATTAATCTAGAAAACGGGAACATGTTTTCTGGATAAATTAACATTGATAAGAGCTGGAAACAAATATAGTTAGTTGTAAATTTTTAGTAATTATAAATTTAATTGTCAATCTATCGAATGATAAAGCATCCGCGAGACTGATATGTCATCTTGAACAACAAGAGCCAAATACGCGTGTCTCGAACACAATATCAGGATGAATAGTGATAGATAAATTCAGGATGCAAATTCGGGAAAATACAGTTAATTACGCATATAACTCCAACACATCGTAACGATAATATACGATATATTCCGGTAATATATTCATGTACACACGTATATTAACAACATGATATCGTTTTACGTCGAGCCGAGGCGATGGCGTTTAACGCTACGCATCTGCTTAAATGCCGTGTGCCAACAGCTAATTAGTATCGCTTACCTTCATTTGCCGCGGTGATCTGCCGTTGATCGACTCACTCTCGGTGCGTTTTGACGCGATCGATGTAAATTACGCGACGATCAGTCTTGACGTTCGTGCAACGAACTTCAGCCGGCGGCGGACTTTCGAGTTTCGATCTGTGAATACAAGGTTGATCGTGATTACACGCGCTAATTAACGCCACAACATCGCGCTAACACCGAGCAAGGAAATGCATGCTCAAAATTCCTATAAAATAATCTACATTTTTTTATTATTCTGTCATATTAATGTTAGATTATTTATTGATTGTTAGAGTATAAGGAAAGTGTTCGAAAGTACATTTTAGAAGTGTGCTTAATTGATTGCAAGTATCAGTTTTTAGATATATCTTTTTATTTTGATGTATTCTGCAGAACTTTTTTTTAGCAATAATGTGCATTTCCTCGCATTCAAATTCACCAGTCTCAACGAATACTCTATCATTAATTTAACTGTGTCCCACGTACAACAATTATTATTGGATGAATAATAATAGAAATTTAAGGTGGAAATTATTCTAATTTGTAATTTGCAGTTTCTACACGAGGGATTTCGGCGTTTGTCGTAGCCTGTATGTGCGATATTGCGACGTTATGAATATTCATTGTAGATATTAATTAATATCACACAATGATATGAGTTACATGTGATACATGTTTTAGATAATTAGATGAGATCACGCAAATGTTTGATGTACCTTTGACGATATGAAGATTGAGTTCATCTCTTACCTATTTTTTTTAATTTATTCCTTAGTTTTCTCATTATCAGTTTATTTCTTTCCAAACAAATTCTTCGAGTATCCTTTTAGGTTACGTATCAGTCAATCACCGTCAGGTAACAGACGACTATGAATTCATGAATCAATTTATAGATTTCTTATAATAATGGAGAAGTTTAATAGTTACAGAAATCAATATAAGTATGATTATTGTAGTCGTACCTGCGCAAAATAAGCCGTTGGTGTTTTACTGTGTAATACTTGGCCGTTGCACTTTTACCACTTAGGAAAAGGCGCGCGAGTATCTCGAAGCGTCGTTCGTGTTCCACCGCGCGCCTTCCGATGGCGCCACATAGCGAGATACGTGCGCAACGATGTATGCAGTAACAAGGACGCGATAGCCATTCACCTTCCATCATGAAATAATTATTTCTAGGTAAGCAAAAAATTAATTCATATCATTAATTCGTATGACTTTTCGTCAACACATACTTAGTCGTGTTTTGTGTGCTTATCCGTACCTTGCTATCAAATTATTTCAGTAAATGTCGAATAATTAAAAAACATACGACGTTCTCGTTTTCGCAAGAACATTTTCGCGAATTTCGTATCTTTCTTGTTATCGACGTTACATATGTCGCAGCAATTCAACTGCTTTAGTTAATTTTCATTAAATTGAGCGTTTTAATATTTCTACTAACAGTTTAAAATATGTGCACGAATGCAGAGGACGCTGTTGTTCACTTCCCGTCGTTCGCGCATGATCGTCGACAGCTCTACTCATCAACATCAAAGCTAACTGGAGTCGTTTGCAGTTGCGCTATTGTATCATACTGTGTGAAAATGGAGGAGTTGAGTGAGATTGCAGAGCGGGACAGTAAGAAGGATGAAAAGGATCATGAGAAGGACGCGCGGCACAAGAGGTACGCGATTATTCCATTACAGGTGATCGCGGATCCGACTTCTGCCCAGGCGATCGTTCCGCACCTTACCTTCTCGTCTTAACCTATATTTGTTTGACGGATGCCCGGTGGACGATTCGCGAACACGATCGCCACGTAATTATTGACGATTATTTCGGATCTTTTGCCGTGACGAGATTCGATCTCGGTTTCACATAAAAAAATCGCCTTCGAATCGATCACGTAAGATCCCGTTCGAAGCGACTTTTGTTCGCGACTCATCCTCGATATTTGCTTGTAATCATATCGTGATGCGATATATTTTACTGCTGGATACTTAATCGATGTAGCTGAGAACTGCAGTCTTGCGCTTTTCGACGATTATCGACCCGCACGTGTGTAAATAAACAGAATTTGAAGGCCGTCGTGGGTTGATGACTGCTCTAATATTTTATTTAACGAATTTGTAATTAATTTGTAGCAAACAGAGACAAACCGATATTTTCGACAGATTCACGTGGTGACTACCACTGCTAAATCGACTCTCTCGAATTTATTAATCAAAGTTGTTTAAATGAAGTTTTTGATTATTGGTAATAACCTTGGTAAAAATAACCTCGAAGGAATCAAACAATTTTGGCAGACATTTCGTCGTTTTATCACAGTTTCAAGAAGAAGCAGGCTCGAAAGAAAAAAAGTCAGGTGGTGAATCCAACTAGTGAAAATATTAACAATAACAAGGAGGAGAAAAAAATGCCTAGTGCGTGCCATATTTCCATAAAGGATATCCAGATGGCTATGGAAGTATTCAATATACAACAAAAACCTGCCAAAACTCAGGAGGAAGCCATGCAAAAGCCTTATCAATTCTGGAGTACGCAGCCAGTACCAAAAATGGGTAAATAAGCAAATTGTAGATGTTAGTTTTGTTCTTTTACTAATATTGAATACTATATGAATCACTAATATTTTGCATAGTGTCATTCAAATGATATATTCCAAGGATATAATGATCAAGGATATAAGAATCTCAAACATTAGCTATTCTTAGTTTTTTAGCTTTTTCTTTCCAATCTAACCAAGAACCTAACCTAATAAAGAACATTACAAGAAATTGATTGATCATTGCTTCATTACTATCAGAGCTGTAATCATGAAAGAACATATATATATATATATATATATATATATATATATATATATATATATATATATGCTGTTAAAGCTATAAATAGATTTGTTTAGCTCTTTTCCACTCATACAACGTAAAGGGTCACACAGATTCAACTTTATCGCATGTGTAGATGTAAATTTTTATATCTCTTTAAAGTAGATATTCTTGTTAAATATTCTTCAGATGAGAAAATTGTGCGCAATGAGGCAATTGAGCCTGATAAAACATCCGTCAGAGAGGAGCCGTACTCGTTACCTGCTGACTTTCAATGGGACACCTTGAACCTAGATGACCCTCTGGTCTTAGCAGAATTATATGCACTACTCTCGGAGAATTACGTCGAGGATGACGACGCGATGTTCAGATTCGATTACCCTCCATATTTTTTGAAATGGGCATTGCAACCTCCAGGCTGGTGCATGGAATGGCATTGTGGCGTGCGAGTGAGCAAAAGCGGACGTCTAGTCGGTTTTATCTCCGCTATTCCAGCCACTCTACGCGTCTACAATCAGTGAGTTCCACACGCGCGCGCGCACACACACACATACACACACACACACACACACACACACACACACACACACACACACACACACACACACACACACACACACACACACACACACACACACACACACACACACACACACACACACATACATAATACTCGCTGCATAATGTCGATAATGTTTACAGTACACAGAAAATGGTAGAGATCAACTTTCTGTGCGTGCACAAGAAGTTGAGATCGAAAAGAGTCGCGCCTGTATTGATACGCGAAATCACGAGGAGAGTGAATTTGAAAGGTATCTTTCAAGCCGTGTACACTGCCGGTGTTGTTTTACCAAAACCGATCGCGACATGCAGGTACGCAAATACAAATTGCTTAAAATTAATTCTTTGCTAATGTACGAATAATTAGTCAACGGTATTTGTACATCTTAGGTACTGGCATCGATCTTTAAACCCAAGGAAGCTAATAGACATCAAATTCTCTCATCTTACTCGCAACATGACGATGCAAAGAACTCTAAAGCTATACAAACTGCCAGATAACACGAAAGTACCGGGTTTTAGAAAGCTGGTTTACGCAGACGTGCCGCAAGCGCATAAAATATTAACAGAAGTAAGTATAAAGTGCATGTGTGAGCTGGTCCGCACGGGATACATTCGATTGTTGCAATGTATTCATCTTACAGTATCTGGAAAAGTTCGATCTCGCCCCGATATTCTCAGTCGAAGAGTTCCAACACTGGTTCTTACCACAAACGGGCATCATTAACAGTTTCGTGGTGGAGAATGAGGGAAAGATTACAGATATGGTGAGCTACTATACGTTGCCGAGCTCTATCATGCATCATCAGACGCATAAGACTCTCAGAGCCGCGTACAGTTTCTACAACGTGTCCACTGTGACGCCGTGGCTCGAGCTGATGATGGACGCTTTGATATCCGCGCGTGACGTAAGTCTGCTTCGCATATTCGCAACGCGGAAACTCTTCAAGTGGTGCGCATTAAACGTTTCTTGATTGCAGTTGGGTTTCGATGTATTCAACGCGTTGGATCTTATGGACAATAAGGAGTTCTTGGAGCCCCTTAAGTTTGGCATCGGTGATGGCAATCTTCAATATTATCTCTACAATTGGCGTTGCCCTAGTATGACACCCGGCAAGATCGGTCTCGTGCTCCAGTAGAGTTGTAGCTCAACGAGTCGTTGCCTAGAGTGTTTCGCGTTTGCGATCTCACGGCAAAGAAAAAGAGGGGGAGAGGAGGGAGAGAGATAGCGGTTGAACACGTACCGAGGACACCATCAACATAGCAATATTGCGAGAAGCGGCAAAAACGGCCAGACGAGCGCGACCTCGATTTTTCTTATCGGGGAGCATATACAAATCACTCTTGGTGACGGCCAACAAAAATTTTCGAATTCTCTTGCAGGATTGTTCTCTGTGAGATGAGCTGGATGGCCGGTTAGCTCGATATCTCGCAAGTCACTCTTGTCTTCGCCATCGGCCCATCCTGCGGAGAAACACCATTCGAGATCGGACCGCTCGCGCGATCGGGACTGCTGTGGAAATTGTGCGTAGTACAGTCCGTTGCACATACAGATTGCACGTGTATATGCGTATCTGCGTGACTCGAGCAATGTAGATAAGCATCATGCGATTAATAGCGACTACATGGCGAGGCGTCGTCTTGGTATGTCCGCGGATTTTCAATAATGTAAGCCTCTTAGACGCCAGGTAACTCTTTACCCGTTTTTTTCCTTTACACTTCCTCGGCTAATTAGATGACAGCGTACGCCGGAGTGTGAGTGATAGGCGAGTTAAAAATAAAATAAGGTTCATCGAGAACGATCGTGTCTTTACCCTCTTTCCGTTACACAGATTCTCTTCCTCCTCATTTCCGATATAGCCTTGTCCCGCCCTCCTATGTCGTATACGCGTGAATAAGTAAATCACGTTTATCGTGAATGTGGCGTGCCTTGTATCATTTGTTACGCGCAATCTCTATAACGGCTGTAAAACCTAAGGTTATATAACCCGGGATTCGTTTCCAGCCGCGATTAGATATGCAATGGGACTCGAAACGCGCGGGAACTAGTCCTTAACTAAAGGATAACGTCTGGTTGATGATAATATCAAGTATATTTACGCGACCTCGTTTAAGAAAACAACTAGCTCCGATAAAAAAAAAAGAAAAAGAAGTAAACGGAGAATTTATTTACAATTTAGCAGAGTCCTTTACGAATCGCTGCGAAATATACGGCTTCAATGAAATAACGAAATATCAGCTAATACATCGCGTGAAGTTTCACGTGCAAACATAAAGTTTTCTATTTATATGGCAGCGGAATAATAAAAAAAATTGATTTCCTTGTTCCACATATATGCGTGTGCCTCAAGGCGAGACGGTCGCATAATCACTACCCTTTTTTTAACGATCATCACGAACACGCATTACGTTGCAACTTCGAGCACGACCGACGCGCAAGGTCTCCTCGGTGATAAGAGAGAAAAAGTCCAGGTACACGTAGCTATGCGTCAATTGAAAATTTACATTTCTCCTTTAGATAGAGAGACGATGTCGTAGAGTGATCACCTTCGACAAGTTTGTGGAGACCTCGTTGTGTGCACGGACGATCGATCAAAACGGCCGGATGCGAGTAGACAAGGGGGCAACGTAGTGCGTTCCGCCTTAAGCGGACGTACAAACGGCAGATCTCACGATATCGTTAACGATGGCCAATTGATGTTTAATCATCGCTTATTTACGGCCCGTTAAATCGCATTTTCTCGGCCGTGCAAATTTACGTTTATTCTCATTTTCGATGGAAACGACATGCAAATATCCTTCTCCCTTCGTCTGCTATAATCGGGATAAATGAATGGTGGTCGTTTAAACCAAGTCAGGGATACACGACAGATGAGGGTCTGCCGTGAACGTGACAAGTTTTTCTTATGAAGAAGTCAACGGTGATATGCAAGAGATAATCGCTTTGACAAAACCCTTGTGTCCTTTGTCGGATACTCGGTTGCATTGAGAGCCGTGTATAATTAACATTCACGCGTTAAATAACGCATATAACAATATTACCAATACCGTATAATTGTACGGTACCTGATTTACATATGCAACCACGCGATAGTATTTTGCAATTTCTGCGCGAAACATTTAACTTTTTCGCATAGCGCTGCGGGCGTAAAAATACTTTAATATTATATATGACAGGTTGCTATATTTTATATCGGATTTTCCGTGATATTGCGTGTTCCAGTAAAATCCGCGATGCAATCGCTTCCAGTATACGAAGCCGATGGTCGCGACACAATTTTAGGATATAATTAATGAAACATTTTCGATAAATCCTTTAGCGCGTATCGTATCACTTTATCAGAGTGCAACTTTTCAGACACGGATTCATTTCCCAACATTCATTCAACACAAAAGGTTTCTCTAAAGTTCAAAGAAGTTACTGCGAATCGCGAATAGCTGATACTTAACTACTCATTCTGAACGCTTTAAAATGACGTAGTGCTTTTCCTCATTGAGAGCAGCGAAGAGCGTGAGTCAGTTTCTTCCGCGAGGGAGTGCGACCAGTTTTAACGTTCAGAAAGCTTCTGACCAAGTATGCTTGTATTGATCTCCCATTTCGCACTGGAAACATCAATAGACGCCCATTGAGAGTGTAGGGTGACTGATGAGCGTTCACACGCCCTTTGTAAATGCATCGCAAATAATAAAAAGAGAGAGAGAGAGAGAGAAACGTTACGAGAAATAAATGCAAAAGGCGGAAACGTTAAATCATCGAACAATACCTATAGAGCTAGATAACACCGCGAGTCGTCGACGAGCAGTATATAGGTGGGGAAAACGCGAGGCGCACGATATGGAATAAATACTGGCCTGAAATCGGACGGAATTCAGTCGCACTCTTGGTATACCAACGACGTTAACTGTCTCTGGTGTCCGAAGGAGAATCTCTGTACGCGCGAATCATCACTGAGATGAGTATCATTTCGCGCCACCTTACCAATTGACTAATTAGTGGCGTCTTGACATCGCTATTTCCCGGGACATTTGATCGCCAGTTTGTAATTCACCAGTGACAAGCTCAGCACTGCAGAGTCTACGTACAATCATCAAGTTCAAGCACGATGCCACCAATTCGAAATTCTCTGATGTTTATCTTCGCGATCGTTGTGATCGCCAGTTTCTTTAGGTATTGCTTGAAAAAAATATGCATATTAACTCCATGAAAACTGCGAAATTTTTAACTAAAGAAGTTCAGTTATATTTTAAATAATTTGTCCTTCTCGGTTATTTGTATGGTAGGTAATTTGTAGATACGTAAAAATACTTACTTAAAAGTAAATACATAATCGAGATTGTAATTGTGATAAGATAGTAAATAAGTATATAATTGATCGTACTTGTACAAAAATAACTTCAGTTTTATCGGGTTTTAAATAATTCGTCCTTTGGTATCATATCTATCAGATATGAATTTTTTAAATTATTCCTTGACCTCTAGTCGTTTTACTTGTAGAATTTGGTTGCGCATCTCTGTAACGAAATTTCGTTGTAAGATAAAAATACATAAATGTTTTATCAACATATTATTTAACTATATGACATTTAACTAAGATGATTTCTTTTAAATAGTTAAATGGCTATTAATTGTTAAACTCAATTATCTGATACGAGTATTATTCGCAACTCTTTGTCCCATAACCGCAGAAAACATTCGAATCCGGCCTAAAAATATATTATCTAACGGACGTCCTTATCCACGCTCATATGTCACATCGTGTTACCAGCTGTAGTGCAAAGACCATTGGAGGAAGCAATTCATCGCAGTTTGACGTCTATTGGAACGTGCCCACTTTCATGTGCCACAAGCACGGCATGAAATTTGAGGAACTCAAAGATTTTGGAATTCGTCAGAATGCCATGGACATGTTCCGTGGTGGAGAGATTGCGATTCTTTATGATCCCGGAATGTTTCCGGCGTTACTAGTCGATAAAAACGGTAAATCGAAAAAAAAATATTTTGTCATTAAATAAAATAGTTTCAAGGAGCTTTGTTTTTTCGAAAAAAAAAAGATATTTCGATGCTTTTTAGGAGCCGTAACGAAGAGGAACGGCGGTGTGCCGCAAGAAGGCGACCTGAAGGAACACCTCAATATGTTCCGGAAGCATTTAATCACTCAGATTCCCGACGAGTCGTTCAACGGCATCGGCGTGATAGACTTCGAGAGTTGGCGGCCTATCTTCCGACAAAATTGGGCCTCTCTCGAGCCCTACAAGACCCTGTCCATAAAACTAGAACGTGAGAGGCATCCGTTCTGGAGCGACGCGGCCGTCAAGAAGGAAGCGAAGCGTCGCTTCGAGAAGAACGGCAGGATTTTCATGGAGGAGACCCTGAGGTTGGCGAAGAAGCTGCGACCTAAAGCCGCGTGGGGTTACTACGGCTATCCGCATTGTTTTAATCAGACCCCCGGCCAAAAAACCGTGCATTGCAATCGTCAGACCATGGTGGAGAATGACGAGTGAGTAATGCCCAACGGATCGATAATCCGATATCCGATGGCGTGTGCATAATTTAGTGGCGTACGCGTGTGCACGTCATTACGCTTTATACGGGGCACACTGATCCGGAGATAATCTCGCGATCTTCGTGTTCGCGAACTAACGTCGGGGGCGTGTCGCTCGGCCGCGCAGGATTAAATTTATGAATATATTGTTCAACTCGCGCGGATTTACGACAACCACGACACCGGGCAGAGATTACCGAGCGCGTACAGAGAGATTACAGCGGGTTACGTCGAAATAGGTCAATGTCGAGGATAGTCGACGGCTCATTGGAGAAAATCACAGCGCGACCTGCAGTTTCACGCGCTATCTAATCACGAGCGGCGATAAAGGAGCGGCAAGTCGTCGAAAAAAAGAAATCCGAGGATAATCACGGGCAATAATTCCCGTAGAATGTCTTGGCTGTTCACGCTCGAGGACGTGCACGCGCCTTCCGTGTACTTGAGACTGGAGATCAAGGAGGGCGATCGGTCGGGCTTCGTGAAGGGCAGAGTGTCGGAAGCGCTGCGGCTGGCGGAGAAGAGCTTGAGGAAACAACAGATCTTACCTTATTACTGGTTCAAGTACCAAGATAAAAAAGAGAAATTCCTTACTGAGGTGAGTCTCTTCGCTCCTCTCTCTCTCTCTCTCTCTCTCTCTCTCTCTCTCTCTCTCTCTCT